GGACGCAGTGTAGGATCAGAAAAAATGCCGAGGCTTGCTATTTTGCTCTATTTCTTTGGGAGATTTTTGTTGTCCATCGTATTTATGGGTAACTAATTTCTTAAGTAAGGTTAGGAATGAGCTTGCACAGTAGAAGATATTTTATTTATTTTTAATTTATGCAGTTGATTTTTAATTACTAAAAGTCTTTTGTTTTATCATTCTCAATTTATTGTTGATATTTTTTTCTACTGATAATCATAGAATTTATTCTGTTTATGGATTCAGTCATATTTTTTTTATTGAATGGATTAATTCTTTGATTATGTTTGGACCAATTATTTATCTATGTTGATTTAATTTTTTGTTGTAACATTGCTTTCTTGAGTATATCTATATTGATCTAGTAGTCATTTAATATTCTTCTTTAGTTTTTTTGTTCATTCTATTATTCTTTTAATTTGTCTCTCTGTGGAATCGATACCCCAAAGCTTTGCTACAATTACCGCATTATTCTTTGGGCGTAAACACCTCCTCAAACTCTACAATGGGTCTCATTTATTTTGTTGACTGATGTTTACTTCTCGTAAGTGAAAATAGATCAACTCAAGAAGTCATAGAGATAAACTATAAGTTCAAACTAGATGTGATAATCTTAACTCATTACATATTAATTCGTCCAACATGTCCATAATTAATGGGTTGGATACCTATATTTATATAATAAAATTGTTTACAATTCAAATTTCACAAGATAAACAAAATGACTGTTGTTATTCGTAGTTGAAATCACTTTAAATTTTATTTTAAAGTTAATCTAATGGCTAATATTAACACCCTAAATTTAATAGGAAAAAAATAGGTTTCTAAGGGTGTGTTTGAAGTGATTTTTTAAAAGTACTTCTACAAATTATTGCTCATGATTACTTTAAAAAAAATAATAGCGTTTGAAATCGCTCCACCACTACCTCTACCACCACCATCCCCACCACTACCGCCACCACCACTACAGTCGTCGTCGCCACCACCGCCACCACCACTACCTTTACCACAGCCACCACCATCGCCATCGCCGCTGCCACCGCCATCACCAACGCTGTCACCACCACCATCACAATCATCGTTGCTGTCACCATCGCTGTCGCCACCATTACTATTGCCGCCGCCACCATCACCACGACCAGCGTTGCTGCCACCATTACCACTGTCGTCGTCGCTGCCGCCACCACCAAACCTCCACACCCATCACCATCACCATCACCACCGTCGCCATTATCACTGCTATTGCCACCGCCACCACCACCTCCACTGCCACCGCCACCGCCACTATCGCTGTCGCCCTCGCCGCCACCACGGTTATTGTCACCCACTACTACAACCACCACTCCTGTCCACTAACTCTCATCCCCATTACAAATCGATGTTTAAATTCCTTTATCTCTTTTCTATATTTGTGATTTAATTTTGGATATGAATACACATATATTTATTGTTTACCATTTTTTATTACACTGTATCTTCAAGTACATACAATAACTAGTTAATTAATATGAGTTTTAAATGGATTAAATAATATCATTCATTTTAATTAAGCGGGTTAATNGATGTTTAAATTCCTTTATCTCTTTTCTATATTTGTGATTTAATTTTGGATATGAATACACATATATTTATTGTTTACCATTTTTTATTACACTGTGTCTTCAAGTACATACAATAACTAGTTAATTAATATAAGTTCTAAATGGATTAAATAATATCATTCATTTTAATTAAGCGGGTTAATATGAATTATAAATGAATACCCATTGGGTTGAGTATTTATCTTTTTATTATATAACACAAGTAATAAAATTAAATAAATATACTAATATACCAAAAAATACACACACACACTATTACACCAAAAAATACACACATATACACCAAAAAATACACACATATACACTAATACACCAAAATATACACACATNAATACCCATTGGGTTGAGTATTTATCTTTTTATTATATAACACAAGTAATAAAATTAAATAAATATACTAATATACCAAAAAATACACACACACTATTACACCAAAAAATACACACATATACACAAAAAAATACACACATATACACTAATACACCAAAATATACACACACTAGTACACCAAAAACACGCACTAATACACCACCCATGACCCACAAGTCGACCCCCGACCCCTATGGGTTGACCCATAACCCATAGCCCACAATCACCCCGATCCATTATTTGTGTATTTTTTTTATTAAATGTATTTTAGTTTTTGTGTTAGTATATGTGTGTGTATTTTTGATGTATTAGTGTATATTTTACTGTATATATTTTTAGTGTATTAGCTTATGTGTGTTTTGGTGTATTAGTATATGTGTATGTTTGCATTTTGGTGTACTACTAATGCGTGTGTGTATGTGTTTTGATGTACTAATGTGTCTATTAATAATTTTTATTATTTTATGGGTTAATCGGTTTAACCCAACCCGTTATAAATCTAACTNATTTTACTGTATATATTTTTAGTGTATTAGCTTATGTGTGTTTTGGTGTATTAGTATGTGTGTATGTTTGCATTTTGGTGTACTACTAATGCGTGTGTGTATGTGTTTTGATGTACTAATGTGTCTATTAAGAATTTTTATTATTTTATGGGTTAATCGGTTTAACCCAACCCGTTATAAATCTAACTCATTATAACCCATTTACTACATGAGTGACAAATGGATTGGATTTATTTTAGTCCAATCCAATTTAACCCAACCCATAACTAACACAACCCACTCATTTGCCACCTTTAGTTCAAATGTCATGAATTTAATTTTTTGTAATTTTTTAGGGTAAAGTTTCGAGGAATTTATCTCTCATAAATATTCTAGTTCTGACGTGAATGATTTGTTTTTGACCGAATTAAAAATGAGATTAATCAAAGTGCACGTAAGTTAATTAACCCGGATACCCCTAATAATTGAACTAAAAAAATGTATATTCCTAGCACCCAACATGTATAATTTTGCCCCATTTAACTTAATTATTGACTAATACTATTTAGACCTAAAAATTGGATTTAATTTATTGACCTACTAGTGTGGTTGCATTCTAACTGTTGGATCAATATCAATTCCAATGCTTAATAAGGTCCACAAACAATCTTATAGTTATGGTGAATTAAATAAACAAATTAAATTAATAAATTAAATCTAAATAACATTACTCTTAACCATTAATCATTTTCTGACCAAAAAAAAAAACCATTTATCCTTTTCAACTTTACCCTTTTCACTTTATACCAGACCAACATTGAAGCCCTAGGGCAATACTTTGACGCTCCTAAAGCCAAGATCGAATCGATGATTGACATGCCAGTCGAAAAAATATATATTTCACAAATACAGACACGGAACAACTCCTCTTCTCGTACAATCCAAACAACCATTCATTTGGATTGTATGCTTTGGATTTTTAGTTGAGTTATGTAACTATACTCTTTCTAAGGACGAAGCTGTAGTTCTAGAGGTGTAAAAGCTTAGCTTAAAATAGGGTATGCGTCACCATCGTCATCCCAGAAGTGGTCCTGCCAATTTGGGATTCATTCTCTCCTAGACATAATTGAAATTGATGGTACTCAGTCTCAGACCAATAAGAGGAATTGGTTTGTTGGTCCCTTTCTGTCAAGTGTCTTGAGCTTAGATCGTATGAATTTGTGTGTGTTAATTTGTGCATGCTATGATAAAAAAAAAAAAAAAAAAAAAAGAAGTCTCAGACCAATAATGTACAGCCTGTGCCTTTGATAATATGCAGCTTATCCTCATTCTTCTCAATTCTCCCATGGCCATGCTGATTTATACAGATAAAAAAGGTGGATTTTAATGCTAAGTTTTTTATTTAATTTGTTGAAACAAGATTTTTTTTTTAATAATGATAAATAGATTTAAAAAATTGATTTAAAAAACTTAACTTGATAAATTACTACTATTGAATAGGTAGTGGATCTCGATAAATATTGAGACACGCAGTTAAATCAATAATAAATATAATAGACACATCATCAAATTAAATATTTAAATCAATTTTTTAAATTTGTGTAACATTACTCATACATTTTATATTAAAATGAGTTTTACTATCAATTTGACGTGAATAGTGTCTTAAATGTTCAAATTAGATACAAGTATGTGTTATTGTTATGGAAATACCATGTTGAGAAACTAAAGAGCAATATTCAATCAACCCTCGAACCACGTAAATATTGTAACCTTATATCACTACTTAATTAGAAACCAGCAAATAGATCTAGTGGACTCTTCTTAGCCCACCAGCCACCACTAACCCTTTCATTCAACTAGATTTGATAATCATTGCTAAAAACAAATAGATTTAATAATTATCATAATATACTAAGTGTGATGTACTATCTAATATTATAGTTAATAAATTGAATTCTGCATAACGACAATCAATATTAATTTAATTTTTTTTCCTCTAAAAAATATCATCTTCTTTGTAATCTTAGACAACTCAAACAACACACTCTCCAATGTAAAATAACTCCATTAATGCACACCTACTTTTTATTTTTATTTTTCCTCGATACGCTTTAATTTTAAATTACTTAATTAAATAAAAAAAATAAATTATTACTTAAACTATAAATATTACACGATCAATGTTCATTTTTTGATATTGCATAATACCTTCAGACACACAATTATTGTTTCTAACCCCATAAAATATAAAAGGAATTACCATTAAGATATAATTTGGGAGAATTAATGCATTGCAACCATTATTTAAAAATTAATTTTTTACACGTGTTTTTCAATGTAAAAACGAATTTTCTAAACGCAATTTGAAAGTTCTCTATTAAAAAAAATTCTTCACATTAAAAAGAATGATCCACACTTCTATGAAGAGTAAAATTGAACAATGGCAATTGATAGTACTTTTAGAAATTGGATTATAAATTCGCAAGTAAAAAAAGTAGAACTCATACTCATATATATTGAAGAAATCACATGTGGTACAAAGGGATGAACAAGTAAACTACACTCAGTCTAATGGCAAGTGCCATGAGCATCCAAGCTAGAGCTCATTGCAGGCCTTATTCATTGGCAAACTCATACAAAGAAAGCCCTTAGTTTTCACACATACACACATCTCTCTCTCGCTAAAGGGAATGCTAGCTAGTTTTTGATGTCATCCTCAAAGTCGGCATCAGGGACTTCGTTAGCATAGGAGCAGCACCTTTGGCACCCTGATCCATAACGATACCTACGGCAGCAACCGTGTTGGCGGCATCCTCCTCCTCCTTGATATCCACCACCACCACCACCGCCGCCGCGACCATAACCTGGATCTCCACCTCGGCCATAACCTGGATCCCCATTTCCTGGACCTCCGTACAGGGCTTCCTCTACACCCTTGGTTGTCATGCTCTCATCTATGACCAAATTAAAACATGATGTTACATTGAAAATTAATTATTTTATTCAATAATGTTGTTTAATTATTCGTCTGTGTTATGCATAAGTATAACCAAACAAAGTTATCTGTTAGGTTTCAAGTCAGTACTCAGTAAGCTAATTCTACAAGAAAATTCCATTTTCAACCTCATGAAATGACTTAACCTGCATGGAAGCACTCTTTGACTGGTCATTATGCTAAGTTAGATAATGCTATACAGGTTAAAAATGAAACAAAAAAACAAGGAACGAATGATGTGGGACACATGATGCTGTTTTTAGTATCATTTTGCTCATTTTACGATAATGTCATATAATTTTTTTTCTTGTTTTTGGTCTAATTTTTTTGATCAATCTAGCAATAATCTACTAGTTTTTGGGTACAGACGACAAACTATGGAACATTAGTATATTAACCAACACAACACCGAAAAACTCACGTGTTTGGTCTTTTGACGCTGCGACTTCAGAGGAGATGAGAAGGACAAGAGCAAAGAGAGCACAAAGGAGAAGAAGCAAAGTTTTAGAAGAAGCCATTTGCCTTAAAAAGCTGAGTTTCTGCTAAAAGAAGTGTTTGTGAAGGGGTGAGGAGAGTATTGCATGTTAACCCTATTTATAGGCTAATGAAGAGAGAGAGAGAGAGAGAGAGAGAGAGAGAGAGACCATTGGTTCAAATCACCTACATGCCTCTTATCTTTTTCCTATCACTTGGATATGGATATTGACTCTCGTTTCTGCCCATGCATGTAGTCCTACATGAGTTAATGTGATTGGTTGGGTAAAGCTATAATGCCAAATTTTCTTTCGTCATGCATGATGCTCTCTCTCTCTCTCTCTCTCTCTCTCTCTCTCTCTGAGCACTAAAACATATCAGTTGAAGAGCCACAGAACGGTATGGAACGCCACGCACGCAATTTAGATAAAGCAAGAACATGGATTTGATGCGAAACTGAGATCACATTATGACTCAAGATGATTCAGATTTCTCCTTCCAGTCATTTGAGAAGTTTTCTAGTCAAAGATATATAAATCAAATGAGACTTGTAATTTATATAGATCAAGCAAATGAAATTCATACTAGGAGAGGGATGGATATCAAAAAGAGACAGAGAAAAAGAAACAAAGTTTCTTGGTTTGGCACATATAGCTTATACTCATGGTGAAAATGTTTAATGTGTTATATCAATGTTTATTCAGTTATACTTGATTAAGATAAAAATCACCTCTATTTATCATCATCTTTGATTATCATTGGGGAGAGACGTTGGGGTCAGGGGGGTCACAGGCCCATTCTCAACATTTTCTGAAAAGTTATGTATATATGCTAAGTATTTGTCAAATGAGTGTCTCCTTGGACGAATTTTTCTTTTATTCTATTATATCTCTAATACATGTATTGGTCTTAGAATAAAAGATGTTAGTGTTACAATTTGGCCAAGTCATACCTGTAGGTGGGAAAGAGTGTTAATTGAGATAACTCTTCCGAACTTAGTTATGCTTAAGCTCGATTCGTACTATTAAAGGATTGTTTAAGCTTGGCTCGACTCGTCTATTGAGCTCAAAATATTGTTCAAGTATGGCTCAAATCGAATTTGAGCCGAGCTCGAGCCAAAAATAAGCCATTAAAAAAAAATCAAATATTCAGTATAAAAATTTCACAAAAATACACACAAATATGAGCATAAAATACCTCTAAATTATAACAAAAACATACAAACTTAAATTTATATGTATAACATACAAACTTAAAATTTTTGCTAATTTTATTGAAATAATCTTGAGATCTATAATAATTTATATAGATATATTATACGCAAGTAGAAAAATGAGTTGTCTCGCGAATAGCTTGGACTCGATTTGAATAATAAACGAACTAAAAAATTTGTTTACATTCGGCTCATTTTATAATATAAACGAGATCAAGCCAAACAAAAACGAATCGAATCCAAACCGCTCACGAACGACTCGGACCGTTTGACAGCCCTATCTGTGGGGGCCGGAACTTTACTTATTGTTGAATTGGGCTCAACTATACTTATTGTTTATTTAAAAAAGTGTTCATATTTGGTATTACGGAGTAATGTTCTATAGACTTAAAAATCAGACTTTGGTTAGTTTCCTCTTTGAATAGGTTTGGTATGGATAGTATTTGCCAAAATCAACAAATATTACCCGGTAAACAAACACACTCTGTGTGTGTATATATGTATGTACAAATATAGAGATACTATCTACATTTACAGTTACTGGCAAGAGTTTATCGATCTTTGGTTAGTGCTTATCTGGTTACAATAAAATTCTGATCTAAACCNACTGGCAAGAGTTTATCGATCTTTGGTTAGTGCTTATCTGGTTACAATAAAATTCTGATCTAAACCGTCAATAAAATACATAGTAAATAAGCAGGAAGTTAATAATCTTATTAATTAAACTTGCAGCCCATAGGTGTCCATATTATTAAATTATTTGTTGAATTAATGTTGATATTAGTGGTTATGTGATGAAATTTAGTTCTGCTTAAGTAATTATGATATGAAATTGAATTAATATTGTTTGATTAACTAATTTGTTTTTTAATCTAAAAATTGGCAAATTGTAATTAATTTCTTAATTTATTGATAATAATATTACAATTTTGTAATGTAAAAATTGATTTTAATAGTTTGTATACAACTAAAAATTTGAGATTAACAATTACTTGTANTTTCACTGTATAAATATATATATATTATATATATATATATATATATATATATATATATATATATATATATATATATATATATTCTCTCTCTTCCTCTCATTTCTTTCCTTCTCTCTTTTTCCCTTTCACTATTTTCAAAAAATATAATACAAAAGGGATGATAAATAATATTTAAAAGGAGTAGTTAAAAATATANTCTCTCTCTTCCTCTCATTTCTTTCCTTCTCTCTTTTTCCCTTTCACTATTTTCAAAAAATATAATACAAAAGGGATGATAAATAATATTTAAAAGGAGTAGTTAAAAATATAAAGAATCTGTTGGAGTGTGGATCGAAAAAAGGAGTAGCTGAAATATAAAAAGTTACTTTTTGAATAGCTAAAATAGCTACAATTATTAGAGATGCTCTCGGGATGAATTTTTGACTCCCCTCCTACATATATAAATATATTTTTTAAACATATTTGAGGGTGAGTGGGTGGCCACAGTGAGTTAGGGGTGGCTCCTGCCATAGGAGGTCTGTTAATGAAAAGTGACTTTTTTGACAGCCTTTTTCATTCTATTGATGTTGGTCCACTCACCACAATGAATTATAATCTCAATCTTAATGTAAAAATTCTATTTCTCATGTGTATTGTATGCCTATGATGTATCTGTATATGTGAATAAGTTTTGGGAAAGTGGGTAATTATAAATGTGTTGTATTAGATTTCTCATTTGTACTTAATTTATAGGAGTTCAAGGTATCTCATTTGAACTTAAAATGGGTATGCAAAATTTTGATAATTAAAAGAATTCTCCAACAGCTTTTATAGTTATACTGATCAAATGCAAGAAGATATATTTTCTTTTTCTTTTTCTTTTTTTCACTTCGTTTTCTTTTTACCATTCGTTTCTTTCCAATCAAATAACATCAATATTCCTTAGATTTCAATATTCCAGATTTGTCTACTTTGGACTGGTCAAAAAAAAATCGGTACCGTACTTCTAAAATTTACTATTTTAATGATTATTTTTATAATTTTTGTGGGTTATTTTACAATCAAATACTTTACCACTTTTGTGAGTGTTGTTATCACTGTTGTGGTAATTATTTTTACCACTTTTTTTTCGGGAAAAAAATTATCACTATTATGAATGTTTTTAAAATTGTTGTGGTAGAACACTTATAACGTTGATAAAAATACCTATAAATATAATAAATATCGATATAAATTTTTTTTCAATATCGTAGACAACTCCATATACTTTAAATCACTCCCATGACATTTTGAGAGCTACTTTAAATTACTCCCATCTTAGAAAAAAAAATTATACCTTTTATTCTCTCTGATACAAAATATTACTAATTTTGCGAACAAAACAATCTCTTTTTTTTGGAGGGGATTAATGGCTTCAGACTGGTAACACATAAGCAGAAAAACTCTTAAGCTGTAACGTTAAATCATAAAGTAATGCTAGATGGATTTAAAAATTATACTTAAAAATTAGACTTGATAATCTCAACCATTAAATAGGTTATGAGTCTCAATAAATGCGGGGACCTACAGTAAAATCAATGGTTGAGATTATCAAATCTAGTTTTAAGTCTATTTTTTAAATCCATGTACCATTGCTCTAAATCATAAGCAAACAATTTATGCAGCAAGTTTGGTGGACTCCCTTTCGACTGCCTTCTTCAGAAAACTGTCCTCTTCAAGAACCATCTGAACGGGCAAGAATCCAAGCCCCGTGGCCATGGCAAGCATCATCTGCTTGGTCTCTGCCTTGAATTCCTCCAAATCAACTGCTCCATTTGAGTCGTGATCAAATTGAACGAAAAGTGAATCGTATATGCGACTGAGCTCGTCTGGATCCATCTTCACATCTATGCCGTAATGGGTTTCAAAGACCCTTAGTGTCTGCAGCTCTTTCAACATCTCTGAATAGGAGAGGAGGCCATCATGGTCTGCGTCAAGGTTGTCAAAGCGGTCGTGAATCGAGCCACTGAATGCTTCTTCATCTTCAACAAAGTTGACAATGGTGGCACCATCCAATACCTCCACACTCATTTTGGTCCTTAGGCTTATAAAACAAGGCTAGGCTGTTATGAGATTTTCGATTTTTGGTTGAAGTGGAAGACCATTATGGGCTTCTATATATAGCTTTGGACAAAGACTAGACTCTAGAGCTGTTTGAGACACCAGCACTGCTTGCTTTTCACGCTGTTGTTTTCTCTCTCTCTCTGCTATTGGTATTTGAATTCCTTTATAGAAATAAGGGATGGTTCTTAGGTGCATCATATGTTAGTTGGCATCCACCCATTTCAGTCATAATCAGACAAGTAATTCTACAAACCATCGAATTTGTAGTTTTCAGTTTAGTNGTAATTTTACTCTACTAGAATATCAAAAATTATTATTTTTTTAGGTCAAATTATATTTTTTAAATGTAAAATTATAATTGTTTAAGGTAATTTTATGATCGATCATAAAATACTATAATCAATCATAAATATCCTCTGATTAGTTGTAACTACTATTAGATTGATAATATGCACCATGTAAATTGATATCCGTCATAGCCTAAATCTTTCTTCTTACAGGGTATAATAGAATAACACCATTAAGACCTAATTTACTGGTTTAATCAATCATTGTGACAGAATTGATAATAGATCTTAATGGTTGGGATATATTATTAATCTAGTAGTAGTAATACATTGACTTCACAAATTAGATCCAAAAATTACTATTGTATAATTCATACATTTATACCCAAAGAAATGAAATAAAATTTTGTTGAATTCAGATAAGAAATAACTTTAATACTAGGGGTAACTCAAGTAGTAATAGAAAAAAGTTATAAACGCAGACGTTTTGATTTTGAATCTTGTAATCTCTT